ACGAATACGCTGCCACTTTGTCATGGTGCAACTGTCAAACTAAGTAAATCATTTTCTTTTATACACAGCCTACTACGGTATGAGCTGTATAGGTTACGTGCATGCAAAGAAAACCAAGGCGTATGCACAGGTGAAATGGGAACCTTATTTGTACGATGGTGCAAACATTATCACGCATACGGTACTTTCTTAATGGCCGGAATATCCAGATAAGCACATTATTCTCACTGATATGAAGAATATTCAGTGACGATGGTTGGTGATGATGATCGGAGATTATCGATAATGGTTCTGATCATGATGTGTAACAGAAAAGATAATCGCAATATTGTTAAAAGAATTGAACGAAGACCCAAGAAACCAAAAGTTCTGATAAAAGGCTATTTATGGCTTAAGCACCTTTGTTGAAGGTGGTCTATAGAATTCTAAGCAGCCTCATTTTTAAGTCGTTATAAGAACTTGAAAGTTCCGGCACCATAATTGAAGAGCATTCTAAGCAGCCTCTGGCGGAACTTGAACGGAACTTTTAGAAAATAAATTAAAAATTTAGCACGCACTTTTATGAAAGTTATTTCTTAAGGCAGGTATTAAAATGTGTTTTGATTTATCAGCATGAGTAGTAAAATTGGAGCTGTTTGAAGAATTAAACCCAGTCCTTCTGCGTGAGAGTCTCAGCACAAACCACTACGTCATCTGAAATATATTAAAGTGAGCTGTTGTCCCGCCTATTGTTGGAGTTTTCTGAGCCAGCTGACTGACTTGAATACGAAACACAACACCTTGATGAATTTAAATCGGTGTTTGCCCGCATGGTTGTGGCGCAGTGGTTAGCAATCGTAGATCACATGCCGAATACACGGGTTCAAATCCAGGAAATTACTTTTTAATTTTTTCTTTTTTTTTTTTGATAGAATGTTGCATAAATATAAGAATTATGATTTATTTGGGCCACTGATTATTTCATATTTACGTACATTAAATTTGGTTACAAAAAAAAAAAGATTTGTGCGGATTGCTTCATATGGCTTGAAAGTTCTGTCGGAACTTTATTAGAACTTTATGAACTTGAAAGTTCTGTCGGAACTTTATTAGAACTTTATGGAACTTGAAAGTTCTGTCGGAACTTTATTTGAACTTTATGGAACTTGAAAGTTCTGTCGGAACTTTATTTGAACTTTATGGAACTTGAAAGTTCTGTCGGAACTTTATTTGAACTTTATGGAACTTGAAAGTTCTGTCAGAACTTTATTCGAACTTTATGGAACTTGAATGTTCTGTCGGAACTTTATTTGAACTTTATGGAACTTGGAAGTGTTGAATGCGAAACTTTTGGTTACTTGGGGAGCTCATCGGACGGAGACCGATAGCCATCGGAGGAGATTTAAATGTTTGAGCAGTGAATCGGGGGAGTAGATGTACCAACGCAAGATGATATGGCCAACTGGATGCTCTGATTTAGAGCAGCCAGGGCCGCACTTAAATTGGAGTTAGATATTCACACTGCTTTAAGGAGCTATGCCGTGACACTTTTACCAACCTCTGAGGTAACACATACCGAATTGTGATGGCGTACACCCTCTGAAATGTGCCCAAACATGCTGAAAGTCATCATTGAGGGACTTTTCCCGGAGCACGACCGCACGACATGGCCACCTACACCATACGGTCATTGACTTATTTTGCAGGATTCTGAGGAGTTACTTTCAGAACAGTGTACTGGTGTACGAGACAGACATGGGACAGAGATCGATTAGGATAACGACGGGAGTTCCACAAGGTTCCATCCTTGATCCAACGCTCTCACGCAGAAAAATTACACGTAGTTGAAAAAACTCAGTTGTTGATGCATTTTGTAAATGTTATCCAGCACAATCAGCAAAGTGACCGCAATTCTGTGACAGTAATCAAAAATAAAAATGAGTGCAGGAAAGGATTCAAATATTAAAGTGCAAACCCCGCCCAACACTTACTGGACAGCACGAATCTACACCACAAAGTTCCGCTACTCACCGCCAGATGCCGCTGACAGTAGGATTTAATGCCATTGGGTGGTGGCGTAAAGGAGGCCATGATGGGCGAAATTGCGCTGAAAGAAAAATGCCGAACCCAAAACCAAATAAAAGCTAAAGCTAAAGAAGGGGATAAGTCTGCACGAGACTTGAGCAGTAGTGAAGAAGGAGCCAACGAAAATATCCAGGAAAAACCCTTTAAGACAAAACCCGATTGTTCTCCTCACTAACCGCTATAATGGTACCTTATTGTGCCCACAGGACCCCGTAGTGTACCGGTAGAAATTTATCTACGGCGTGGGCAGACCCCGTAGTGTCCATCGTTTTCAACCTACGGTGCGGTTAACCCCGAACGTAATCAGCCTCGAAACCTGTAGTAATCGTTTGAACAGCATACGGCGTGGGCAGACCCTGTGGTTTCCGTCGTTTTCGACCTACGGTGCGGTCCAAACGTCCATATCACCAACCGTTGGTTCCACTACACAGATAAAAATTCTGAATTTTAATTGTGATGTAAACATTCATTCACGTATGTCGTGACGCTTGGTTGATTTTCCGGCCATCTTCATCGCGGAGCAAAAACAGCACACGTCCGCGTGCCAAAACAATAGTTAACGGAATGCCGTTCGGATCTTTTCGTTTGTAACTTAACCCTACGCGACGACCAAACGCTCTCCCAAACACTCAGCGTATTCTCGGTGCCTCTCTCAATTTTGCACCCGATCGAATGATTCTCTCATATTTTGCTCCCGAAGCTCAGATTCTTCGGCAACAAGTGACCGAACTCTAGCAAGCGCGGTAACGAGATTCTTTTTTTTCCTTTATTATCACACGCACACACTCTCAGCACTCTCAACACTCACTAGGTAATTGTAAAATCCGACACGAAGAGACGTTCGGAATACCCCAGCTGGAGGATTATTTCACTCTCGCTCTCACTTTTTTTAACACTGAAAGATTTTTGTTTTCATTTTACCTTTATCCACTACAACGTAGACTTGTATTTCATTTCACGCAACCGAGCAACTTGCAAACAATGTTGTTTACAAAGATGGGCTTTTGTATCCAATATTTGCTACATTGCATGAAATGTGTCAGAACTTTACATGATATAATGTAAACGTAACTATAAAACCAAAGACTTAAGTAAAGTAAAGGAGAAAATCTATACAACTCCCTAATTAGGAAAAAAATCCCAAAGGCTTGGTAGCTATCATAATGAAGTAATTAAACTGGGTTGTCCGCTAGCTTAAATAAAACAACAAAAAATGGTTAATTTTTAGAGATGTTTACGAGCATATTTGTGCTATAAAAAATCATTGTTCTATTGAAATTGATATCATTATTTATATGCAGAAAATACTATTATTCTACATGTTGCAACTAAAAGTAACAATATCACCAGTATTCGACCTTCCCTGGGAGGTATCCTGGACTGTAACATTCAAATTGGTTCCAATTGTTTCTGGAAATATCTGCGGAATAAAGTCTGGAACGTGCAAAAATTGGTCAACTTCAAATTGGTGTATTTCTGTTAGAAATGCATAAAAAAACCCTTAAATGCTGCAGTTGGAAGTTGAGTGTATATACAATGCTTGCTATGATAAGTTTTCACCGTTTGCTCTACAGTTTTCAAAATGACGTCCAAGCAATAGGAGCATCGTGTCAAAATTATGCTCGCGCATCAAGAGAAACCGACGTTACGTCTCCTATACTACTGTGCATCGGGCCAAGAAACGAGCCGGGTTATCGACGTTTAAGAAGGTGAAGGTGGCGAACCGAGATTACCAACAAAACACGTCGGCAAAGCAGCGATCCCGAAAGCTGTATACGGATCTGCTCACAAAGTTCGACTGTGTCGTCATGGTCGTAGAAATTTATGTGAAGGTGGATTTCAAGCAGCTTCCGAGACAGGAGTTTTATACCAATGAGATGTATACAGGTGAAGAAATGATCGTAAAATGGTATTCGTGTAGTGCAAAATATGTTATAGTGTTTTTGAAGTATACCTTCGGCGACGTAAAACTCCACATTTTTCATGCCAATTTTTTAGGAGTTTTTCGTCATCACCGATTGTTTACCTCTGTTTTGCTACTAATACCAACAAATACTCTCTTGTGCCACACCTTTATATACCTCATTTGTTTTATACCGCATCAGGAAAAGGGAAGGAGGCTGAAATTTTCAAAACCATCAAACTATCGAAGTTCCCGAAAAATATCTCGTCTGGCAGGCCATATGCACGTGTGGTCTAAAAAGCGACATTTTCATTACTACGGGAGCCGTCAATCAAGATTTAAGAGATCTACGTTCAGGAGTGCCTGGAAAAGCGGCTGTTACCATTCCTAAAGCAACAAAATAGACCTGTGCTGTTCTGGCCGGACTTGGCGAGCTGCTACTATGGGAAAAAGGCAATCGAGTGGTACGATGCGAACAACGTGGTTGTGGTACCCAAAGACCACAACCCTTCCTCAACCCAGAACTCCGCCCTATCGAACGGTATTGGGCTTTGGTCAAACGGAATCTCAACAAAAACTAATAATCTATGGAAAACGAGCAGCAGTTTAAATCTAACTGGCGTTCGGCGGCGAATAAGGTCGATGAAACCACTGTGCAAAATTTAATGGAAAGGGTTAAGCGGAAGGCACGGCAGTTCGGATTTGGGAAACCAAAAGAATAAACGAACATTTTTTCCTTTAAATATATGAATTGAACTACCAAAAGAAAAATAAGATGATTTTTGTGATATGAATTTTGACTGAAAGAAACGATTTTTTTGTCGACCAATTTTTGCGCGTTCCAGTCTTTGATTTAACCAAGTGGAAATGTTTAAAGTAGAGAAATTTCGTAGAATACACATAGCCTCGCTAATACTTCGTCTGAGACCCGTAACCATGCGTAAAGTGATGCGTTCCAAATTAAAGACTTCGATTTCTCTCGTATAGGATTAGGAAATTTTGTGATAAACAATTAATTATTCATTTCGGTTCATTTAATTAAAAACGTATATTTTCAGCATTCATTACATTTCGGTAATTTTGATTATGTTTAAAATAACATAATGCGGCGATCGTTCTTGAATTACAAAAAAAATGGAACTAACTAAAATAAAACTATATCCTATAAGACACTTAAACTAATAGTACTTCTGATCTTTCTCCTAATTTCCTGTCATCAGATGAGATCTTATTAATAAATTTGTGAAATGATAATCTACACTTGGACCGCTCATTGAAGTAGTTAACTAAGTCATGACTAAATCTTGTATTTTTTTTTTGTATGAATTTGCTTTCATGGATATAACTGACGGATTGACGATTTGTGTGCATGGTTATAAAAAATGAATATTCGGTTGGTCTGCTCCAAGCCACGACAAATAGGAGCTCAAGCACAGCTGTTTATTTTAAATACAGTATGTAAATATGGCAGTTTGGACTGATGAACCATTGTAGACTTTCATTCAAGCGACTATAGCAATTTGGCTGATTTGTTTCTTTCTTTGTATGTCTCGGTAATAGACGGGTTTCAAGTAAGTGACATTGTTTTTTGTAATTTATAAATTACGAGTATAGACAATCTTTCATCGGTACACTGTTGATGATTGATACGCGCTTAGAGTACATTAAGTTTACAGAAGCTCAACAGAAATTTTATATTCTAAGTAAGATGATTAAGGGACTAAGCTAATATTTCCTTTTGGTTCAAACGTAGGTTGTCATTTCGAAATACAGTTTGCAGAAAGGCAGAAGCAGAATATGCACCACATTTTTTCGATTAGTAACGACACCAAAAATTAAAACTCAATACATTTCCTGCTCATCAAAATTCTTGGAAATATTCGACGGATGTGTTGATTCTAGGAAATGTTGACATAAATAAATAAATTCAATATGTTTAATAATAATCTCGCAGAATTGTTTTCAAAACATGGTCGAACGGATATTTTTGTTTGTTTGAGCTCTGTTAGTTGGTTTTACTTTCATGTTTTGAAGGTTTGCTATATGGTTCAAAATCCGTCTAAGCAATAGCACACAGGTTTTTAGCATCATTGTTAATGGGTGTCATACCAACTGATGGTATTATTTTATCTGCATTTTAAGTAAGTAAACAATATATGCAATAATAATGTCCACATGATGCATTATCCGCTGGAATTGTGATTTAAATAGCATTAAAAATGTAAAGTTGTTCCGCGCAAGTTGAGAGCATTATTCTGTCATTCATCATCCGAAAAGTACATATAAAACAGTGAGTTCGCAATTTGTCTTAATCCTAGCTGCTAAATATACACAATTTTGTAAAGTTTTTTTTTTTCGCTTGACATTATTATCAGTTGCAAATCTCTCATCTGTTATCTGTCACTTATCGCTTCCAGTATAAGTCCTAGAGTGACTACCTTGGTAACGAATACTCCGTTCCATTTTTTCAACCCTCATGCGTTCCTCTCTAGTGGACAGACAGTCCTGAATCTCCAACATTGTCTGATTACACGGCGGAATTTTTGCCTATGATTTCACCGCTTCGAATCTGCACACCTCTGCCGTCGAATTCCACCGATGAATTCGTCTTTACCCCAACATCTGGTAACGAGTTCAATGGTTGTTTTTCATCCTCTCTGTTGTGGTGCGCGTGAATGATCATCGGTCCACGTGGAAACGGGGGTTATTTTTTAGATGAGAGAAAAATAAATCGACGTGTTAATATTCATTGAGCATAAAATTGATATTATAATGACACGATGAACGATGAAGTAAACAGGATTATTGGATGCAATTAGAAAAAAAAAGTTATGAAGCAGTAAACAGCATGCAATGGAAACAGGTATAATGTGTTTTTTAGTGTTTGTGTTTTTTGTATGTTATTTAAACTTGAAGCTTTGAATTTTTAACGATCCATTAGATAGGGTAAATTATGGCTTCGGCACCCATTGACTGTTTTCGGCAACCGAAATTGAAACGTTAATTTCACTGTATTTTCCCATCAAAACTCTTCGTTGAATGTATTAAGCCGATTCCTCACATTTTAAGCTTCAATCTGATTACATTTTTACGACTGTGCAATCCTTTTATGCCATATTTTTCTTTAAATTAAATATACACACTACAAAATACGGCTGATTTCGAGTTGCCGATAGTAGAACAACCGGTTAACACGCAGTTCAAATGGAAAGGGTGCCGAAGAAAAAGAGACTGCCAACAATAGTCACACTCACCTGAGAAGTTTGGAGCGTTGTAAAAACATGTTCAACCCGTTTTGATCAATTCTGTCGATTAGAATTGGTAGAACAGCAAGCAGCAGATAAATGTCAACAAACAAACCTGTCATGTATGTGTGTGACGCTGAAAAATCGCTAATAGAAGTTCGGACGCTGCTTAGATTGACGAGAATACGTAAATTCCCCTAATTGTTTTTATTTGCAAAAAATATAGTTCTTGGTCGAAACACTAAACTAAAAGTACAAAAGCTAGTTGAAAAAGAGATTTAGATCAGTGCTGCCAAACGTGCGACCCGTGCGCCGGACGTGGTCTCTGGTTCTCAGCGGTGATATCATTCTTGTCTAATTTTATTCATCATTATGAATTTTAGCCCAGAATGAATGAGTTTCTGTTTGAGCGTGTAATAGAGTACAACCAACCGGTGGAATCTAACGATTTTAAATTGGCTAACTACTTGACCAAGCAAATCGATCAACGTACCCCATTCTAGTTGAAATTCTAGTACTATACTATGTTTGTTTTGATTTGCTATGAAAGTTTGACAGATAAAATAAGGGGTTCGTGGATTTTCCTATGTTTCGAGGGGTGCATCGATTATCTTGGTACCGAAGATAGTACCAGAGCTGAGTCAAAAAGTTGAGCACGTTTCTTCGGGACCTTCTGGTCTTTAAGTTACCTTTATGGTACAAACTCGGTGTAATGCTCCTGTCATCCGAAGCCTCTTATACCATAAGTTATTGAACGAACATAGATATAACCGTTTTTAAAAAGCACGTTTAAAAATGTTGGGCAGGCTTGATTTAGATGCTGAAAGGTTATTTAAAACAGCCCATTTAATGTACCAATAAAAATATAAAATGTACCATAAAAAACAAAAATGCACCCCAAATAATTTGTTCCATGTCACAATAAGAAATAGCACCTATACCCCTAGAAAATAGAAAATGTACCCACAAAAAATAGAAATCGGATTGGTTTAACGAAATAAACGATTAAAAAAAAATTACGATCGCACCTTAAAAAAAAAAAAAAGTGATCCACATACATCCAAAAGTAATCCACACAAATGCTCCTTTATTGCTTAACTACTCAGATTTACTAACTTGCCCGTGTTTCTTTTAGTGAGAGCCTCTCGTTGCTTCGAGCAATAGTCTAGGGTAAGCTTCTATAATTTTAAAGAAAAATCGTCTAAAAGAAGCTTGAGGATTCTAAAATAAGCTTATTGTAGAACCTTCTTAAGAAGCTTGTTTCACTCTAGACGTTTGTCCGTCGCTCCACTCCTCTGACTAAAGAAAACATAGGCAGGACAGTAAATCTGAGTAGCTCCGTTGTAAAGGAGAATTTTACTAAGGATTATGGGTACATATTCCATTGTTTATGTAAACAAATTTACGGGTTCCTTTATTTATGGTACCATTGTTATTATTGAGGGATCTTTTTTTTTATTTTACCGGTACAATTTAAAAATGATTATGTACATTTTTTGTTTCAGCAAAGAAGAATGCTAAGATAAAACAGTAGAAAGAAGAAACTTTCTATTTTTAGGACATCTTTCACGGTCAATTTCATCCAATGAATGCAAAGTGTTTTTGTGTTTAAAGGGTGTCCCACATCGAATTGCATCACGGAAAAAACGCTGTAGAAAATTACCTAGTTGACCGATCCTTTTCAAACTTTCAGATAATAAAATATAGCCCATTAGTAAGCTTTTGACATATTTATTTCATTCAACTTGAATACCAAAACCGTACGCTCGCACCTTACGCTTAACTCCACTCATTGGATTCTGTACAACATCTGGATGCAGCTTCTTCTGTACGGAAACACACTTTTTCTTCATGTCTTCCTCAGATTTGACCTCCTTGCGATGCTTCCGTAGTGCTTGCTTCATAATAGCCCAGTATTTTTCGATGGACCGTAGTTCCGGTGCGTTTGGGAGGGGGGAGGCGTTTATGTCCTTGGGTACGAAAGTGACCCCGTTGGCTTCGTACCACTCCATGACAACATTTGAATAGTGGTACAAAGCTAGGTCCGGCCAGAAGATCGTAGGACCCTCGTGTTGCTTCAACAGAGGAAGCTTCTGTAGACACTCCTTGAGGTAGATCTCCCCGTTTATAGTCCCGGTAGTTATGTACGGCGCACTCCGTTTGCCACATGAGCAGATCGCTTGTCAAATCATGTATTTCTTGGCAAACTTTGAAAGTTTCTGCTTCCTTACTACCTCCGGAACATCAAACTTTGTAGTGGGCGGTGAAGAACAGTAGCTGAAGGATGTCCGCCTTGCGTAAGTCTCATCATCCATATGAGGCTTCCATAATGAGGCTTCGTCAGCATCTGGGTGTCGTTTCCGGGCCCGTGACTATCCCACCGTGTTTTGCCCTTCGTCACGATTTGGAGCGTACGTATGCATACCCTCCCGGTCCTTGGCTCTCTGAGCGAAAGACTTGGACAGATACAACTTTTTGGCCACATTTCTGACCGAAGTAGTGGGAGTCCGCTTAAACGATTTCACGACACGCTTGTTATCCTGATCACTAATAGAACATCCATTCTGACCGCATTGCTCCTTCCGTTCGATGCTCAGAGCACAGACAAACAGACGTAAATCTTCATTGTGTATCTTCGTTCACGTATTTAACGGTTGATTTGAATATTATCAGTTCCACGACCTACTCGCCGCAGCATCGGATCACTTTGACGTTTCTACAAATTCTATGGAACTTTTATACAATATTGTTTGCGAGTTAGCGAGCAAGCTTCTTTTCCGCGAGAAACCCGAGAGATGTCGTTACTGAGGTCCTATGTTTTGAGATACTATGTTTTCAAGAAAAACTTTTTTTAAGAGTTACGTCTGTTTTTCTGTGCTCAGAGTTTTGTAGTAACGTTTAATCACACGACTCACCGTTGACTGCACGATTACAAGTTGTATTCCGATGTCCCGATGAGAGAGTTGAGGGTTTTGCAGGTGCTTGCGCAAAATCAATTCGCGACGTTGCTTTTCGGGTGAGGTCATTTTTCCAACTTTCGAAAAACTGAGAGCGATAAAAATACAGTGTGAACAATACACTCTAAACTACTTCTATCCACATTTTCAAGAGAAAATACCCAATGGGTAACTTTCTTCAGCGTTTCTTACGTGATGCAATTTGATGTGGGACACCCTTTACACTGCCCCCTCGGTAGAATTTTCATTTTGCGCTTTTTTTATCGAAACAATCACACAAAAAATCGAGGATGTCCCTTTTTTTAATGACTCTATTAATAACAAATTGATTATTTTGTATTTACTGTGCTGTCATTTTTCCACCAATGAGAGTGCAGAACATGTTTACAACGATGGATGATGATCCTATGGAGAAGCTAATGCTTACTTGGCATGATATAACCGATAAAAATTAATTGATTTTTCGGTTCGTTAATCTATTAATCGATTATTCGAATAAAATTCAGACGAGACTAGATGAATATGAAATGTCATTTTGACATCCACTGACAATGTCAAATACAAGTGCCGTTCGTAAATAATGAGAAAATTTGAAAGAACCGGGGCTGATGACGTCCCCAAGGTAACTGAAAAAAACAAGAGAGCTGACGGGTTGGTAAAAGTATTCTTCTTATTTTTATTGTCTTCTTCTTCTTCTTCTTCTTCTTCTTCTTCTTCTTCTTTGCATTTTAAGATAATTGCTTATTGCATATTAATTTATTGTATGTTCTCAACTTAGTGTTCTAGATGCACTTTGTAAGGCCCCAAATATTTGTAAGGCGTTCTCAAATTACGTGTGCTATTTGAAACAATGTCATTTTCATTAGAGTCGATGTTATAATAAGAGTCCCGCAAAGAGAAAATGTTGCGTAAAAGCACACTGTTTGTGATTTAATTTTCGTCATAGTAAACAGCAACCAGATTTTTTGATTTTTCGGATGACTTTCATTAAGAATTGAAAAATTTCATGTCGATAACGGAGCTTGTGGGAGACAAACACAATTATGGCATTACTTATAAATATCACAATGTACTAAATAAAGCGAAGAAATGTTTTTCATCTAAAATTACTAAAATATTGTCAATAATGAATGCAATACTTGTAGTTCACTGGCTGTGGGAACAATAATGTTTATTTACTTTGCTTGTTTGGTACTTCTGGCTTCACTCTTGGCGGGACGCTTATTTTAACATTGACTCTGATTTTCGTAAGCATTACATTCTCCATTCAAAAGTAACAAAAACTCAAAAATCAATCTTCATTTTCTTTTTGGTTGTACCGTTCAGTTTCTTCTGCGTGCCTGTTTTGTCTTTGGCTACCATTTTTGCATTAGTATTTGTGTGGCAAGTACAATCATACTCTAAGCCCAAGGAATCCCAGAAATTTTCCAACCCGAAAGATTCCTAGACCGGACC